CGTCCAGAAAAGACGAAAATTACAAAAACCCATGAACACTTAAATAATAAAAAAAAAAAATCAACCGTAGGACCTTGTCAGTCGTTTTCAATTGAACATGTATTGAAATAATATTTATTTAATTAAAATACAATTCTATCTATCTATCTATCTATCTATCTATCTATCTATTTATCTATCTATCCCAAACTGCATCTCTCTGGGATCTCTATCTATATATATATATATATATATATATATATATATATATATATATATTATTTTTTCCCTTAGGCAAACACTGAAGTACCAATTTATATATTCCGGTTATACAATTGGCGAAAATTGTTGGAATAAACACTTCCAATTATCGAACTCAATGCAGTCTTTTACTTTCCATTGCTTCCTTACGTTCCAGACTTCGAGAAACGCAATGCTGGAAAAGCATTATTTTACTGATAAATTAATTATTACTTTCCACATCAACAAAACGATTCATTTCGAATAAAAGGCATCAGTGATGAAGGCATCTACAATTTTTTTTTTTTTTACTCCTCTTTCAGTAATTACGGTCGAAACAGAGATGGGGAGGTGGACATGATCGAACGCTTGGCAGTGTTTTTATTGACTTTTTCCGTCGATATCTTTCTTGGTCGTATTCTTGCTTCTAGATAAAATTCGAAAGAAAGCCTTGTAAAGTAACCGAATTTTCCTATACTAGCAAACGTGTCTATTTACTTGCATTTGGGCAGATGTGAGACTTTTAGATATACCCTCTGAAAACACTGTGATCACAGACGTTTGGCCAAGTTGCTTGACTGTACATTTTCAAGTATTTTACAGGATTTTTATTTTATTTTTCGTTGCTTTATGGGTTTAATTCTCGTTTGTAGATAAAATTCGATTGAAAGCCTTGCAAAATAACTGAGTTTTTCAATAATAAAAAGCATATCTATTCACTTGTACTGAGGCGGATCCATGAGTTTTGGAGATATCCCCCGAAAACACTGTGATCCCAGACGTTAGACTAAGTTGCCTGATAGGCTGCTATTATCTCGTTCGCCGATTTTTAGTTATTTTGTAAAATTTTTTTAACAGCGGCTGATCCTGCTATTAACGAATCGCTCTTATTTATAATTTAGCACTATGACTGCTGATTTAATCTTATATATCACGTATATAATACGTTAAAATATATGTTTTCTCTTATTTGATATATTATAAGTAGTAAGAAACTGATTCTAAATCGGACGACGTTTAATCCCGGTTTGAAACAAATAGATGTATAAAGTTCTATGATGCTGCTGTGATACATGAAACAGTCTTTCTTTTAAAAATATATATATATATGTATGTGTGTGCGTGTGTTGTGTGTGTGTGTGTGTGTGTGTGGAATGAAATATTTATATGACGGTACCTAATCTGATACAGAGAATAAAAGCAACACTCCGTTACTAACCACCAAACAAAGTAACTCGTTGGGAGCCCCATCCTAGGTATGACGATAAATTACATCCGCATTCAGGGTAAGATGATAAACAACGTCCGCCTCCTGGGTAAGATGATAAACTACATCCAACAGCTAGGCCTCTGATCGGCAGGTTTTGAAGAGCGTGGAACTACCTCTTGATTGTTGGTGTTCACAGGTACAACCTGACCAAGGGTGGTAGCACCTGTTAGGGTCCCAGCTATGGGCGAATAGTTAACCACCATACTGGGGTCGGAACACTATGAAAGTGTAAAAATAGGTCTTAATACCAGAAATACTTTATAAAAAAAAATTATTACAAGCAATACATGAATAGGCCAAAAAAAAAAAAAAAATACATCCGCAATACATTTTAGGCCAAAAAAAAAAAAAAAAATTACCAACAATTTTAAACAAAAATTATATCAGAAATAGATTTTTTGAAGGAAAATTATTACTAGCAATATATGTTTGAAAAAATATTATCAGAAATAGATTTTTTCAAGGAAAATATTACTAGCAATATATGTTTGAAAAAATATTATCAGAAATAGATTTTTTCAAGGAAAAATATTACTAGCAATATATGTTTGAAATAAAATATTATCAGAAATAGATTTTTTCAAGGAAAAATATTATGAGAAATAGATTTTTTAAGGAAAAATATTATGAGAAATAGATTTTTTCAAGGAAAAATATTATCAGAAATAGATTTTTTTAAGAAAAATATTACCAGAAATAAATTTTTTGAAGGAAAAATATTACTACCAATATATGTTTGAAAAAAAATATTACCTGCAATAAAAAAAATTATCAGCATTAAATAACCGATTGAGGTTGATATGCCGTAAAACAAAGTAAGCCAAACTAAACATTGAGAGCCAGTTTCCTGAAAATGACCAAATGAAGAGACCAACGCAGGATTTTTCTCTAGGCGTAAAAAGAGATGCGCAGCGTGATACATAATACTGTTTTAATTGAATTTATTTGAAATATTTTCATTCGTGTGCAGTAAAGTCTATATCATTCAAAAAGACCTCTTTTAGCAAGGATTCGGGATCAATGCTAGCGACATCAAGCTGTTGGACACAGGCGTCAATTTTTAAGGAGGTGGTATTTAAAATTTGGTACTATGTTCGAGATGGATTTTGTTCCTTTACATATGACTGACATGACACAGGGATATCGTGTCTCGTTCTTATTTATATTTTGAACTCTGTTTCCACTAATTAAAAAATCTGGAATAATTGCAGCAATACCATTTAACTCTCAATTTACTATGTTAGGAAGGCAATAAAGCCACTAAGATACAAGATATTACTGGGAGCAAGGTGGGGGTAATAGAGGAGCCATCAGGTAAACAGTAGATAACGATTGATATTGCATTTAAGTTTCTGAAGACCAAAGTTAACCGAAAAGCATGGAGCCAGAAGAGAGTTCCACAAGTGAGAAGTTCGAGAGAAGATACTGTTAACTTAGAACTTACGATTAAAATTTAACTTTAGTCCTATAACGCCCAATGTTCCTCAACCAGTGTTCTCCTAAACCCTAAGCTCTCTGCAAAATCTCAGTAGGGGCTCCGTGAGAAACAGTGACAGATAGGCTTATGAAATTTTGAGTAAACTGTATGTAATTTTATATGCATAAATTTACTTTACATGTAAGTCACATTATTTCAAAATCCTTGGTTATTCTAATAAAGGCTTCAACCTTTTGTATTATTTAAGACTAGCAGCCATAGTCAACTGGTTGATAAAAAAAACCGTTCAATTAGAATGGAGCAAAAACAGCACCATGTTTAGATGTAACAGTCTATCTTCTTCAATTACTTTAAAGTACTTTCATTAAAAAAAATATTTTGAATTAATGCAGTTACTGATATAACAGAACTAGTCTGTATTTATTCAATCGAAGTTAGCCGAGGACATGAAGGTGTAAAACAGGCAACATGAAGACCCACTTCAGACCACAATTATTTTGGAGTTTTTGAAATTCAATTTGTCAATGTGCTACCAGGGATGTAAAAGAGGATACACTTATAAAGCAATTATGAAGTTTAATGAAAATTGGTTTAAAGATCAACGAAGAATAAAAAAATAAACCAGTAAATATCGCCATTTTTTCGCTATTTACGCGGGTTTTCACTATATGGGTGGACTCCTTTTTCAAATTAAATTACTGTTAAACAATCAACTTATTGTTGGCTACAATTGAGTGAAGTTTGTATTAGATTGCTTGAAAATTGAGGGAGCTTTTAGTTTAAAATTTGTGTTGAAATCGATTTTTCGTTTTTTGTGGTTTTTCGTTAAATGCAGTGGCGTAGAAATAAAAAATGAGGTATCGTTGAGCTCGTTATGATGTAAGTAACGGACATACCGAGTTTGAATGAAATCGGAGGAAAAAAGTTGAATTTATCGATTTTTGATCGGCTTTATCCATTATTGATTTTTTTTAAATTATCGATTTTTTACACTAAGAACCTCTCTCTTACATTGTACAATGTAGTTTGGTCAAAATCAGTTGGATGGATTGGATGGATCTCACACACAGAAATCCTCCCTTATATATATATATATATATATATATATATATATATATATATATATATATATATATTAAAAGCAAAACAGTTCTAAAAACATTAAAATACATATTAACCTCATCTTTAAATTTAACGAACACACAAATATCCAAAGTCACAATTGCAACAAAAAAAGATGAAGGGTTTAAAACATTATTATAGAAATCTTTTTTTTCAACTTTTGAAAAAAATTAACAACATTCATAATAAATAAAAACTTAAACTGCAAATGAAAAAATGTGATTTATGTATTTAAATGCAAAATATGCAAAAGTCATATGTAAGCAAAATATAGGTATCTTTTCAACAACTGAACAACAATTAAAAATTGCACAAAAGCAACATAAAGAGTTACCAGACAACAAAAAACTTTTTTGTATCACAACACATCTTCAAATGTAACCAGGGTAAATTTAATATCATGTCAATATATCAAACAGACAATTATTTTTACCTACAAATACAAGAAAAAAAAATTTCATAAACAAATTTAAACCGGAACTAAATAGATCATAACCGCACACGCAACATGCACACATAGTGACCAAATTATTTCTATAAGCTGAAGTACCAAAAATTATTTTTATAAGGTGAAGTACCAACAATTCAGACAGTAGCAGGCACGATAGTCTCACGTTCACCGCGCTTATTTAAAAGGAACTCAACCATTAACATGTGTTATAATAGTTAAAGAGGTAGCGTAACTGTGACAGCGTAGCCGTGGTAGCCATCGGACGTGTATAAGATTTAACACCGTTTCTCCACGGAATAACTGTTGACACTAGAAACATGGATCACTCTACTTGCTTTATGCTTATTTTGCTCAGCAGTAGGAAAGGAATAGTTACGAATCGGGATTTTAGGAGAGATAGAAAGTGAAGACTTCCACGATTTCTCTTTCTTTTAACCCACCCACCCTTTTTTTTCTTGTCTCTTTTCCTCTTTCTTTCATTCTTTCTTTAATGTTTATTCATGTCTACTTTCTTTCTTTCTTTCTTTTTCCTCTTCTTTCTTTCTTTCTTTCTTTCTTTCTTTCTTTCTCGCCTTTCCGCTATTCTTCCCTCTTTGTTTCGTTCTTTCATTTGTCTTTCTTTCTTTATTCCATTTTCTTTCTTTCTTTTTTTTATCTTTTCCTCTTCTTTTCTTATCTTTTTCTTTCGAACCTTTTTTCTTTGCCTTTGCCCTCTTTCTTTCTCTTCGTCGTTTCTCCTTTTCTTTGTTTTTTTATTTAGTTACTGATCCGAGGAAAAGTTGGTTAGAATCTTGTTAATTAGACACTGGTTTGGTTTTTGACCAGAATTTTTTTTTTTCATTTACGAAATGGGAAAATGTCTCTCGTAGTTTTCTTATAGTGCAGCGTTCAAAATTATACGGTGCACGAAGGTTTTAACTTGAGGGCGTGAAAGGAATTTATGCTTAACCGGCTGACTGCTTGTTGACTATCAGTTTGGGCTTGTCGCGTTGGCAATGGAATCAGTTTCAATTTCTGTGTTCACAAGGGCGGTTATTTTCACAGCATAATGGTGAGATGGGCGTTACCATTATTTTTTTTATTTATCCATTTTCTTTCTGTCTTTTTGTCGTTTATTTTTCTTCTTTATCAATTTTCTTTCATCCTTTCTTTCTCATTATTATTTATTCAATTTTCTCTTTAATTTCTTTCTTTATCATCTTATTAATTTATCCATTTTCTTTCTTCCTTGATGTTCCTTTCTTTCTTTCTTTCTTTCTTTCTTTCTTTCTTTCTTTCTTTCTTCTGCATTCTTCGTTTCTTTCTTTCTTTTCCCCCGTTCTTCTTTCTTTCAACCATTTTCTTTCTCTATTATTCCATCTTTTTTCATTTTTATCTTTTTTCTTTCCATCTTTCGTTTTTTTCTTTATTCATTTCTTTTGTCTCGTTTTCTTTCTTCATCTTATTTTTTTTTCTAATCATTCTCTTCTTCTATCTGTCTTCATTCCTCCTTTCCTACTAATCTCCTTTTTCGTTCTTACTTTTTTTCTTTGTTTCTTTCTTTGTTTCCTTCATTCTTTCTTTCTTTCTCCTCTATTCCTTGTCTTACCCACTCTGTCTCCAGTCTCCATTTACTTTTGATCTCCCACTTCTTTCTTTCTTTTTCTCCCTTTCTCACTTTCATTCTTTCTTAAAAAAAGATCATTTTTGTTTTACTTTCCGTCTTCCTTGTCTTTTTTTATCTTTCTTTCTTTCTTTCTTTCTTTCTTTCTTTCTTTCTTTCTTTCTTTCTTTCTTTCTTTTTCTTCCTTTTCTCACTTTCATTCTTTCTTTCTTCTCCTGCAGTTTTTGTTTTACTTTCCGTCTTCCTTGTGTTTTTTATCTTTCTTTCTTTCTTTCTTTCTTTCTTTCTTTCTTTCTTTCTTTCTTTTTCTCCCTTTCTCACTTTCATTCTTTCTTTCTTTTCCTGCAGTTTTTTTTCCATCTTCCTTGTCTTTTTTTTATCTTTCTTTCTTTCTTTCTTTTCTTTTCTCCTTTAAATAACTTTCATTTTTCTTTCTTTTCTCCTTTTTTTTTTGTTTTCTTTTCCGTCTTCCTTGTCTTTTTTATCTTTCTTTCTTTCTTTCTTTCTTTCTTTCTTTCTTTCTTTTTCTTTTCCCCCGTTCATCTTTTCTTTAAATCCATTTAAAAAATTCTATTATTTTCATTTTTTTCATTTTTTATTTTTTTTTTTTACATCTTTCGTTTTTTTCTTTTTTCATTTCTTTTAAAATTTTTCTTTCTTCATTTTATTTATTTTTTTAATCATTTTCTTCTTCTATCAATCTTCATTTTTTTTTTTTTCCTTCTAATCTCCTTTTTCGTTCTTTTTTTTTTTTCTTTGTTTCTTTCTTTTTTTAGAGTTTTCATTCTTTCTTTCTTTTCCTCTTTCTTTTTTCTTTATCCTTTTCATTTCTCTCTCCATCCATCATTTTGCTTTCTTTCTTTTTATTTTTTCTTTCCATTTTTCTTTCGTTCTTTATGCATTTCTTCTTTATCCTCACTTTCTTTTTTTCCTTCATTTCTTCCTTCTTTATTCGCCCGTCTTATTTATTTTCTCTTCCGTTTTCCTTCTCTATCTCCATTTTTCTATTTTACCTTTCCTTTCGTCCCCCCTCTTCCGCATCTCTCTTTTTCTTTCTTTGTTTCTGTCTTTCTCCATCTTTTCCCATTCTTCTTTTCCTGTATTTCCTTCTTTCTCTCTTTCTTTTTACTTTACATCGTTCATTCGCTCTCCATTCCTTATTTTACTTTCTTTCTCCCTCTTCCTTCTCTCTTTCTTTTTTGTTTATACTTCCTTTTTCCTTCTCTTTCTCTATCATTTTTTAATCCTCCCTTTCTCTTATTCGCTTTCTTCTTACTTACCTTCTGTCTTCCTTTTATTTAATTACCATTATTCTCTCATTTATTTTCCACATTTTAATCTTTTTTCTCAGTCTTAACATTCAGACGATAATCTTTAAACACCTTTTTCTCACTGAG